CGGCGCGGAGAGCGGCGACGCCGGCCGGGTCCCCGCCGGCCCGGGCAGGGCTTACCCCTCCCTGTGCGCCGGGGAGCGCGCCGCTCGCTGGTGTGATGGAGCGATGGATGGGTGGCTGTGGCGTCCGCGGGCCGGCTCTGCACCCTGTGTGTGAAAGAGTTTCGGAAGCTGTGTAGGTAGCCTCGCTTTTCCAAGGCGGTTCTCCGGGCTAGAGGGAGTTGGGAAATCCTGCATATCTGTCTGCCAGTACTCGCGTGTTTGTGTTTAACGGGGCGATGATTATTTAAATCTTGAATGGCAATAGAAGCATTGTTCTGTGCACATCGAGATAAAGTTCCAGTGTTAACTCGGGTCAAATATAGTTAGAAACACACATGGGCCTCAAAGGACACGTCTTTGCAGTACACATGTCAGATATTAAGATTTTTAGGTGCAATACACTATTTGGTGTACGCACAGCCGTTTGTGGAACGGTTCGTCTCGCATCTCATGCTGGTAGCAGAAAACCCAAAATTAATAGCGGTGAATTTGTCGGAATATTATTTCTTTGAAATAAAATTTGTATATAATTAAATGTGCAAATTTATATAGAAAAGATGCAGTGTAAATTTTTTATTACTGAGGTAATAACTTCGTTTTTCTTATGGTTTGAGAAAGTTTCCTCTTTGCCGGGCGTGGTGGTGCACACTGGGGAGACTGAGGCAGGAGGATCGTTGCAAGTTCGAGACCAGCCTGGTCTACAAAGTGAGCTCAAGGCCAGCCTGAACTGCATAGCGAGTCCCTGTCTCGAAAACAAAAAACAAAAACAAAGTTTCTTCCACTCCTCTGAGTTTTACTTGAAGTATATTTTAAATGAGAAGGTAGTGCTTGTTTTGGTGTTTGTTTCTTAAAAGCACTTTTATCTTTTGGTTGAAGTTGAATCTCTTTGTGTTAACTTTGCTTTTACAGCAGCTTTTGTTAACTCTTCCTGTCACCTTATTCCTTCTAGTAATTATTTTCCGCACCCCGTATTTTCCCTAAGAGAGGAGATATGTGATGGCAGTGATTTCCAGGGTTATGTGGAGTTGGCTGTTGGGTAAAGTTGGTTTTATCAGAAATTTATTAAACCTGAAATAAAGTGATAGTCTGTATTAGGCATTGCCCTGGTGAGGAATGATGTGCTAACATATTCCCAAAATTTTATGCGGAAGAGAATATTTTGCCTTTTCTGTTTGTTCCCTTCTGCAAATTTTACAGTCTA